ACACGATTCGTTAAACGTGAATGTGAAAATTCGATTGCGAGGTCGACCTGAGTTCAGTGTCCTGGCGGTTTTTCAAATCATCCCCCAAAATTCACGAGACTCGCAAACAGCCCTAACGACATTCGCGAAGCTGGTTACCAATAAAAACTTGACCTTAACTTCGAACGTCTACAACAAAAGACACACGCCCTAAGGAATGCAAAATCTTGGATGTTCCTGGTGACGATGTGGCGTCATTGACAAGTAACCGATTGGTGGAGAAGGTGAGAGGGCTGATCTAGGTGGCGGAAAATAAAACTCTCAAACTGCATTCCGTGAGGACATCCGTTACAACGTTGAAAATACTAACTACACTACCATACTTGAACATGCAATATTAAAGCAGCCCCCCACCATCCCCCCCCCCCCCCCCCCCCCCCCCCCACCCCTCCTTAAAACCAGGGTGCACATTCAACGCGGTTCGGCTTGAGATGTTGGGAAGGGGGTTTGGAGAAAAACAGTGATTGGCTCACGAGGGGCGACAAAAAAATGATTCCGCTAGAGCTTCGGGCATTTCGTAGGTGGCGGGAGGGGGTGAAATGGCGGGAGTGGGTGAAACCGAATGGCGGGAGGGATGAAACAGATTGGCGGGAGGGGGGGGAAACGAAATTGCGGGGGAGGGGGGAAACAAAATTGCGGGGGAGGGGGGAAACGAATTTCGACGGGGAGGGGGAAATGAAATTGCGGGGGCGTGGGGAAACGAAATTGCGGGGGAGGGGGGAAACGAATTTCGACTTGAAGGGGTTGAAAGCACACCTCGTAACCCACTCAGTCAAGGGATAACCTTTGATGCACATTCAGCTGAATGTGCACCCCGGTTTTAAACAAACACACGCCTCACACACACACGCACGCACACAAATGCTGAATCCTTGTCCTACCAACAGGCTTCTAGGTGGAATGGTCCGTCCACGCGCTGGCCACACCGCTAGGGCAGGTTCAACTCTCAGAGTTTGCCTTTTATCTTGCATTGGGAGGATGGAGAAGGATCCTTGGTGGTGGTAGTCGCAGCGCCAGAAAAGTCGCATGCAGAAGAGTGCTGGCGCTTACGCTGGTACCACTCATTGAGAACGACAGTAGCCTTGCTGGAGTCAGGGCACTTGGCCATGAGAGCGCCGCAGTTCATGCCACCACCGCTGCTAGAGCAAGCCCACGCAACCGCGTTGCCAAGCGCCTGCTTCGTCGCAGTCGACTTCGGAATGCACCATTTGAGGGAGGTGCCACCACTACCACTGCCCCCACCACCACCACGATTCTTGTTGCTACCACCACTGCTGCCGCCACCGCTGATGCCATTACCGCCACTGGCAGCACCGCCCAGCACGTTGAGAGGGTACTTGGGTTCGCCCTGCATAGTGCACAACCCAAACGAGGTCTCAAACTTGCCCATGGCCGTGTTTTTTCGGTCCTCGTCAAACATCTCAAAGAGGTACGCGCGGATGGGCGAGTTGCGCCGCTTGGGGGTGCCGCGACCGGACAGCAGGAACGAGACCAGCGCCGTGTTCCACTCCTTGGCTGCTGCGGGTGAGGCGATGGCTGCTCCTGCCTTCGGCCACCCTGTCTCGCCGACTGGAGTGGGGATGGGGGGGGGGAGGGAGTGGCGGGGTGGAGAAAGGGGAGAATTAACAAAGATTCTAGATGGGTGTCGGTGGTGGTGGTGGGGGTCATGGTGATGGTGGCGGGCTATGCTGGTGCAGAAATGCGAGTGGGAAGAGAGAGGTATGGCAGGGAAGGAGGGCATGCAAGTGCGATCCAATTCCCAGCTACAACAAACAAACCCACCGATGAAGGGCATGTTGGGGAAGCCGAGCTTCTCGAAGGACCAAAGAGCACCGTCAATCGTGGCCTCCATCAGGTTGCTGTACCGCTGCCCCTTGTCGTCAAAGCTCCCCGCGCCGCCCTTGAAGAACACAAAGTCGCGCGGAATCTTGGTTGGTTGGGCGAGGTGTGTGAAGAACGGGTACACGTTCAGCACGGCGTACGAGCCTGGGAGAGAGCAGGGTGGGGTGGGCGAGGCCAGCAGGGACGGAGGAGAGTGCGTTGGGAGAGAGTGAGATCCAGAGTAGTTCACTAAGACGTGCATCAGCAACGTCTCAGGCAGCTCTGTGCAGGTCTGCTCTACTGAGCGAGTGATGCGGCACACTGGGAAGAAGAACCACCTCAAAGGTTGAACGGCTACGGTAAACACACACACACACACACACACACACACACAAAAGGAGATGGACGAAATACACGGTAACATGCAAAACATCCGGAATCGTAACGTAGAACGGCCTACCTGTTCGTTTGAGGAAGGATAGCAGCCTGGTGACCTCGTCTTTCACGCTCGGCACCACTTGCGTGCTCGACGGCGGGTACGCGTTCTGCAGAAAGTTCATGTGCTGCGGCGTGACCACCTTCACTCTCTGATGTAACTTGCGAGCCGAGAGTGCCTTGTAGAGTGACTCCATAGCGGGTACTACTGAACGGAGGAATGGGTTGCCAGGGGAAATCACCTCGTTCCCCACCTGCCGCGAATCGCCAGGATTGGATCAAAACGACGGAAAGAGATTAGGATGCCAGGCAGAAAGCAAGACGGACAGAACACTCTTACAAACTGAGACTGAACCGCACAGAGGGGGGAGGAGGTAATTGGACTGAGATGGGAAAAGACTGCAAAACCAGCCGTACACGTGGGAGACGAGGCAGGAAGAAAGAACGGAGCACGGGGCCATCCGACGTACCGCAATAGCGAGTATATTAGTCTTCGCCATATACGGCATAATTTTCGCGTCCAACCACGCGAGAGCCGCCGAGTCGCTCTTGGCAAATTCATGGAGCAGCTGGTTGGGCACGCACGTCATCACCTCCAGGCCCGATCCAGCCAGCGCATTCAGCGCCGTCGGATCCGGCTGGAAGAGCTTGACGGCACTGAAGCCGCGCTGCTTGATGATGGAAACGGCTCGCGTGAGCGACACGGGGTTCGAGGAGAGCCCCACGCCGAGGTTTACGCCCATCCATGGCTTGCTGCTGGCTGCTTGCGCGGTGAGCGGAGCCAAGGAGAAAGGGACCGAGGGGTCACTCAGGAAAAGGGGGAAGAGGATAGCGACTGCGAAGACGGCGGATACTCCTCGACGGAGAGCGCGAAAGGCAGACATTGCGCGGTGTCGTGAGACAGTGCGGGAAGTATGTGCGACGCGCGCGGGCGTGCAGGGCAAGCAGTGTCGCGTAATGGGAAGGAACGCCGAAGGAATTGTCGAACACTACTAGTAAGGCTGGCGCTGGAAGATCAAAGATCCTTGCCCGCATCTCCTGGTGTTTGACGATGTGGTTTACAGCCATTTATGCTACTCTCAGTGTGCGTGCGGCGCGATTATCTTCCAGCCCCGCGAGTTTAGCGAGTGACCTACGCAGTAAGTCTGTAGTCTCAGTATGCGTGCGGCGCGATAATCTTCCAGCCCCGCGAGTTTGGTGAGTCACGGTGACGTACGAGGTAAGTGTGATGTGTTAGGGCTGCATAGCGCGTCTCACGGGATTGGAACTCGAAGGTGGTGGTGATGGCCTGCCATGCTGGCTGCGTTCTGTTGGGGCACAGGCTTTGCGGGTCTTCCGCTCGAGCCCTGCGAGAGGGGTTTTCCTCGGAGGGGAAAACGGCAGCGAGGGCTCGGCGAGAATTATTTCTGCTGAAGTCAAGCAACTTCGCAACGTGCGTAGTGAAACGTGCGCAGCGTACCAGCATCCACAGCGTGGTAGGGATCTCCAACAGGTCTTGAACACTCTGCCTGATGAGTCATAGGGTATACCCTAGTATAGCCTACAATAACATATGTGAAATGGGGAACAACAAGCGGTCACAAGACCACTCAAGAGAAGCAAACAAAGCAAAGATCCAAGTGGATTTCAAGATCACCTTGCAGTCAGAGCACAAGAAAGAGGCCACAAGGCCAGTTCACATGCAAAATTATAATAGCAATGGTAGTACACTGTTCACAACCTAGCAAGTGCATACATGCATGTATATAGATATATAGCAGTGTCCAACAAGGGCAAAGCTAGATCAAGAAACAAGCAAGTGAGGCAGAGTGGGCAACCCAAGAGCAGTGTAGAAGCGCTGATGATCACCAGACCTTAGGGCCTTGGTGAAGATATCAGCAGTGTTGGCCTGTGGGGCCACGTAAGCAAGGCGAAGCAGACCTTGCTGCTGTAGCTCCCGTGCGAGAAAGTAACGAAGAGCATTGTGCTTCGTTCTGTGCTTCAGCCTCTGCTCGCGAGACAAGGCAATCATGGTCTTGTTGTCCACGTACAGAACTGGAGGAGAATGAGGCCGCTCACCCAACTCAGTCAGCAAGTAGGTCAGCCAGCGTAATTTGGTGCAGCCATAGCCCCAGCGTAGATAACTGCCTCACAGCTGGAAATAAGTACAGAAGACGAGCGGGTGGACCTCCAAGAGACAGAACCAGCGCCAAGACTAAAAGTGTAACCCTGTGACGAGCGCTGGGTCTCCTGGTCGTCGGCCCAAGAAGCGTCTGAGTGCCCAGTGAGCACAACTCAACCTCGTCTTCCAAGCACAAGCCCCATGCCTGACGTACTGCACTAGTAACGCCGTACCTTCTGCACAACCCGGTAGTCCTCAGGGCGGTGTCTCCCGGACGCAACGAAGTGCGCCAGGATGTTTAGAGGGTATGCAAGGTCTGGTCGAGTGCAGGTCATCAGGTACATGAGGCAGCCCACAAGCTCTGGATACGGACCACTCGGCTCTACGGACTCGTCCAAAGGTGGACCTGAGAGCGAGTGACTCGTAGGCAGAGGAGTGTGCTGAAAGCGGAAGCGCCGAAGGATCTGCTGCACCATGTGTGACAAAGTCAGAGTGATGGTGTGCGCTGCTTTGTCCCGGGTGATCTGCCAGCCAAGATAGTTGCGCAGCTCACCCAGGTCAGTGCAAATGTGTCTCTTCTGCAGTTTCGCCTTCACAAGGGTCAGTGCCTCTGTGTCAGAAGTAGCAGAAACCAAGCCGTCGGCGTACACGAGGACGTAGAACGGTGACAGAGAAGGGTCGGTGCGCAGAAACAGTGAAGGGTCAGCAGTCGACGGAGCAAACCTAAGAGCCGCAAGTGTCGTCCTCAGTGTGTCGTGCCACTCGCGGGGCGTCTAGCGGAGACCGTAGACTGGCCGCCAGAGGCTCCACTAGGTACCCTGAGGAAACGAACCAGTGAAGCCAGATGGGCGGCGCAGCCAGATCTCCTTGTGAAGACTGCCCTGCCCTGCAAGAAGGCTGTGGAGAAATCGAGGGAGTGTAGCTCGTAATCACGCTGTGCTGTAACGTGCAGTAAGACCCGAAGAGTTGTCATCTTCGGGGTGGAGGAGAAGGTATGGAAGAAGTCGACCCACTGTCGCTGACTGAAGCCTCGCGCAACGTAACGCGCCTTGAAAGCAGCGGCCGCTTCACCCTGAAAATCCACATGCCATCGACTATGTTCGCCCCAGGAGGGGGAACTGCGTTGACGTATGTGCCTGTGGACTTCTAGGATGCCAGCTCTGCGTCCATGGCTGTCTGCCACTGAGAGGAGTACTGACCCGAGATTGCCTCTATATGAGTGCGTGAGGTCGGGATGTCTAGTGCATCCGGGTCTCCCTCAGGGGCAAGCAGCATGGCAACGAGATGAGGTACAGCACCCGCAAAGCATTCGAGCTCAAATTGCCTGTCCTCAAGCACGTCACAGCCAAGGGTAAGGTCATCACCGACGGACGGAGGACAGTCAGACTCGGCAACTAGACGCGCAACGTAGTGAAGGCGGCATGTAGCAGCAAAGTCAACAAGCTCAGCGACAAAGGCAGACGCAGTAGGGGACAAAAGCTTAGGGTCAGTCACAAGCGTGGCGAGAAGACGAGTGACAGTCGGACTGACAGCACGAGCAATGTCAGGCTCAGGGTCAGCAACAGCATGAAGAGAAGACTCGGGAGGCGAAGGCAGGATAACACATTGTGGAACAGAGGAAGGACGAAGTGCCATAGTGTGAGTGCCGGGGACATGTGGAGGGCGAGCACGAGGAGCACGACGAGTACGAACAGACGTGACAGGACGCGACGCATGCTCTCTACTCTCTTTCAGGGACTCTATCACCTCAGTGTAAGGAGAAGGAGTAGGCAGTGGGGAGTCACGCGATAACAGAGTCTAAGACGAGTCTGGCGGCGGACACTGGCGGCCAATTCTGGCGTCGGGAGTCGAGAGGTGGAGTAAGGCTAGTGGAAGACGGAAGATTAAGAACCTGGCGAAGTGCCGAGTCAGGTGGTGGCAGCGTCAACTGCGGCTGAGGCAAGAAAAACGGTCGCCGCTGCGCTGTACCCACAGTACCAGAACCTCCAGCTCCAATACCTCCAGCACCTCCAGCTCTAGGTCCTCCAGCACCAGCAGCTCCAGTAATTCCAGCACCAGCACCTCCAGCACCTCCAGCTCCAGTACCTCCAGCACCAGCACTTCCAACACCAGTGCCTCCAGCACTGGTACCTGAAGTACCAACGTCTCCAGCACCTCCATCTCCAGTACCTCCAGCTTCAGTACCTCCAGCACCAGCGCCTCCAGCACCTCCAGCTCCAGGACCTCCAGCACCAGCACCTCCAGCACCAGCGCCTCCAGCACCTCCAGCTCCAGTAGCTCCAGCTCCGCGACCTCGCCGAAGAACCCACTTGCGAAGCTGCTGCCGCGGGAGAGTCTCCTGCCGACCAGACAGCTGCTGCTGTCCACTCCCAGAACCAGCACCCCCAGATCAGCACCCCCAGAACCAGCACCTCCTGGTTCCAGGCAGTTTTAGCGTCAAAAGTGCTTACTCCTTTTCAACTAAACAACCTCAAAAAATATTTTGATCCAATACCGTACTATTAAGACTTTTCAAAGATGTGTTTCCGAGGTTTCTTCCCCGGTTTTTCATCACCATCTCCAAGAGCGACTCGTGCCTAAAGATGTGCTCAGACAGATGACAGACAACTGCTGGCACGGTACCTAAAGATGTTCTCAGACAGATGACAGACAGCTGCTGGTACGGTACCTAAAGATGTTCTCAGACAGATGACAGAGGACAGACGGTGACGTTGTCCTTCTCCTGCCGATCCCCTGGTGAAACTTGAGGAGGGGAAGGCAGGGGACATTGGACAAGGACGTGGGAAACAACTCTGCTGATATTGTTAAAGATGCGAGTGCTGGTGGCTCTGGTATGACGCTGGAGGAAAAGCATACGGTAATGTGCTGATGGGGACTTAATTGATGATGATGAATCTGATGAAAAGCTGGATGTGGATTTGGCGAAAGAGGCTGCGTCCAGCTGCGTTTCACTGTCATTCTGTTACCGTACTTCCCTTTATCCTTGCTCAAGAGGTCGCTTGAAGGAAATTCTGAGAATGTAACAGCATTTGACAGAAATGAAGCGTAGGCGCTCAGCCCTTAAGGTACGCAATGCAGAACGATGCTCTTTCTTTAGGAGACTGTTTGGCTCTTCGCCAACGGAAGTTTTTAACGGCCAAAGGATGAGTTGCAGGATTTTGGAAGTAGACAAGGACGCGTGACGCGTCGCTGAACTTCCTCTCGCAGCGAGCCGTTGAGAGGGTGTACGGACAACTGCACAAACAACGATGTTCTGTACGATACAGACAGAATGACACAATACAGCATGAAACCGCTCACACTCATGTAAAATGTGAAGCGTGGGGCTTCAGATAGGGAGTGGGTTTACGCAAATGTAGCCTTGTGTAATTGATCGTTGACAAGCATACAAAAATTAGGTGTGATAATTCTCACACCACTACTTATCCAATCCCTCCTCAGGGTTGGCCTCTTAGTTTGCACTGGGAGGATGGGGAAGGATCCTTAGTGCTGGTCATCGCAGCACCAGCAAAGTCGCATGCAGCAGGGTGCTGGCGCTCACGCTGGTACCACTCATTGAAAACGACAGTAGCCTTGCTGGACTCGGGGCACTTGGCCATGAGAGTCCCGCAGTTCATGCCACCTCCGCCACTAGAGCAAGCCCACGCAACCGCATTACTAAGTGCTTGTTTCGTTGCAGAGGATTTCGGAATGCACCATCTGGGGGAAGTGCCACCATTACCACCTCTGCTGCTCCCACCACTGCTGCTCCCACCACTTCCAGAAGAACTGCCGCCGCCACCACCACTCTTGCTGCTACCACCACTGCTGCCATTACCCCCACCACCGAGCACGTTGAGAGAGTACTTGGGGTCGCCCTGCATGGTGAACAGCCCCCACGAGGCCTCAAACGCGCCCATGGTCGTGTCCTTGCGGTCCTCATCGAACATCTCAAAGAGGTATGCACGGATGGGCGAGTTGCGGCGCTTGGGCGTGCCGCGACCGGACAGCAGGAACGAGACCAGGCCCGTGTTCCACTCCTTGGCTGCCGAGGGCGATGCGATGGCTACTCCTGCTGTCGGCCACCCTGTCTCGCCCACTGGATGGCGACAGGGGGGTGCGTAGACGGGTGGAGAGAGGAGAGGATAGATTAAATATCCAGTGGGTGGTGACAGTGGTGCTGGTGCTGGCTCTCGTGCCTGTGGTGGTGGTGGTGGTGGCGGGCAATATCGGTGCAGAAAATGCGAGTGGGGGAGCGAGACACGGTGGGAAGGAGGGAATGCACGAGCGAAACTCATTCCATGTTGGGGACACGGTACGACAGAGAGAAACTCAATTCTCACCAATGAAGGGCATGTTGGGGAAGCCGAGCTTCTCAAACGACCAGAGCGCGGCGTCAATGGAGGCCTCCATCATGTTGCCGTACCGCCGCCCCTTGTCGTCGTAGCTCCCCGCGCCGCCTTTGAAGAACACAAAGTCGCGCGGAATGTTGGCCGGGTCCCCGAGGTACGAGAAAAAGGGGTACGCGTTCAGCACGGCGTACGAGCCTGGGGAGAGAGCAGGGTGGGGTGAGAGAGGCCAGCACGGACGGAGAAGGTTGGGTTGGGTTGGAGAGTTTGAGATCTAGTATATCTGGCTGCGAATCACAATGCAAGAAGGCACGGAGACTTAGGCGACACCAAGTATCAAGCAGCTGTGCTGCCGGTCTGTCCGCTTGAGCGTGTGTTGCGGCGCAATGGGAGGACCCTCGTATGTGTCACGATTGGAAAGTTGAAAAGGCCTACCTGTTCGGTTGAGGAACGATAGTAGGCTGGTGACCTCGCCTCTCACGCTCGACATCACTTGCGCGCTCGACGGCGGGTACGTGTCCTGCAGGAAGCTCATGTGCTGCGGCGTGACCAGCTTCACTCTGCGGTGTAGTTTGCGAGCCGTGAGTGCCCTGTAGAGTGACTCCATAGCGGGTACAACAGAACTGAGGAATGGGTTGCCAGGGGAAACCACCTCGTTCCCCACCTGCCATGAATCGCCGAGAATGAATGGAAAGGACGGAAGAGTGTTAAGACTGCAATGCAGGTGGCAAAACGGAAAGAAAACTTCTTCTTGGTGGTTGAGAAGGTGGTTGGGTTTACTCGGAGATTGGCGAAAAGTGCAAAACCAGACGGGAACATGCGAGACAGGAACAGCCGAGCGAGATAGGAAGGGCCTTCGACGTACCGCAATCGCGAGAATATTAGTCTTCGCCATGAACGGCATTATATTCGCGTCCAACCACGCGAGAGCCGCCGAGTCGCTCTTGGCGATTTCCCCGAGCCGCTCGTTGGGCACGCACGTCATCACCTGCAGGCCCGACCCAGCCAGCGCATTGAGCGCCGTCGGATCCGGCTGGAAGAGCTTGACGGCACTGAAGCCGCGCTGCTTGATGATGGAAACGGCTCGCGTGAGCGACACGGGGTTCGAGGAGAGCCCCACGCCGAGGTTTACGCCCATCCATGGCTTGCTGCTGGCTGCTTGCGCGGTGAGCGGGGTCAAGGAGAGGGGGTCGGAGGGGTCATTTGGGAAGAGGAGGACGAGGATAGCGACTGCAGCGATGGCGAATCTTCGAGCGGGTGCGCGACAGCCAGACATTGCGTGCGGTGTCGCGAGACAGTGTGAGGATTATGCGCGAAGCGGGCGGGTGTGCTGCGGAAGCAGTGTCGCGTAATGGGAAGGGTTGAAGACGGAATTGTCGAACACTAGTAAGGCTGGTGTTGGGAAGTAAGAAATCTCTGCCCGCATTCCCTGGTGATCGACAATGTGGTTTACAGTCATTTATGCTAATCTCAGTACGCGTGTGGCGCGATATAGTTCCAGGCTCCAGCCCCGCAAGTCTAGTGAGTGACGCTACGCGGTCGGTGTGATGTGCAAGTTCTGCTTTGCGCGTCTCAAAGGGTTGAAACTTGGAGATGGTGATGGCCTGCCATGCTCTGCACGTCCGCACTTACCAGGAGGAAAATACAGCGCCCTGCGGGATGGTAGGCAGGAAAGGGAAGTGAGAGGGTTGTGATGGGAAGGAAACAGTGATCAGGAAACAACAAAGAAGCAGCCGAAGCAGGAAAATCTGGTTACCTTTCGACGAGCGAAAACTAAAGTAATCCAACACGATCAATGGTTGGTGTCGGTACTTTACTCCGTGAACGACTTCACACCTTTTAACGAACAATTACGAATTATATGGGCGAATTTCCATCACGAGGCGCAATCTCACTTATAGAATTGTACATCTCAAGCTTCCGCGACCCGAGTTGGACCTTCACTGTGCGAACAAAATTGCCAGCCTCTTCTCGCAACAGTGTGCGAAGCTTTGTTAGTGCGCCGACATGCTGGGTGTAACAGCACAGCACAGTTGTGCTGGGCATGTTCTAGCGAATGGCGAACTTCGCGGCAACGTGACGACTGCGAAAGTTTCGCTTTCAATAGCGTAGCAGGTTTGCCACCTCCCTCAATATTTTTAACTTTCAAAACAGTGAACGTAAATAAAGCATGTATCGGTAAAACGAGCTCCATGTTTCTTCACAAATAAAGCATCCTAATTGCAGTAGCATTATTTACAAGGTTGTCTACAACATTCCAGAACAGTACATGTGAATAATAAGTTTTGCACCATTGAACAATAGCCTAGTATGTCAAATCTTATTTCCTGAAAGAGGGCCGAAACACGCTAGCATCCCACGGTGTGTTAGTGGGGGAAATGGAGAGACTACTGGTCCTACACTGGGCAACATGATTGATGCCTGCATACGCATGGGTGGAGCAGCAGCAACACCCGGTGGAGGCGGAACAGGTGGTAGGTAAACAGGCAGGCCAAGGGAAGGAATCATGGATGCTGCACCATCCCTACAGAAGAACGGGGGAACTGCATATCCAACAACTGTGGCTGGATATTTCGAATCCTTCACATTTTGAGGCACAACAATCCAGTCGCTTGGGGTGTTTTGCATGGCGACCTGCTGCAGGTGCTGTCCCTGGTGCTGTCCTCTTGACAGAGCACCTTCAAGGTTCCTCAGCTCCTCTTCCTTCGCACCCCGCATGTCCTCACTGTCTAGAAGCCCCGAACGAGAGATAGCACACTCGCCCGGCTCTTCATCCTCTCCACCCAAATCTCCCGCACTTGCAACGCTTTGAGCACGACAGCAAGACCCAACGGACCCAGAAGCTTCTGGAACAAACAACTCCGAGTTCAGGTGCGGCGCGAAGGAGCCGGTACCACTGCAGCACGGAGCAGCAGGAGGGGGGACAGAGGCTCCTTGGAGAAGAGTGGCGCCGGTGTCCGCTGACGTGAGGTCGCACTGGGTTGGGAAGCCCGGGCGCTGAGGAAGTGTTTTGTTCCATGGAGCATAAAGCTGTTGTGGCTGTAACAGCTGCTGCTGCTTCACCTGCTGCCGATGCTGATGCTGATGCTGCTCGCTGACATCTTGGTTGGATTGGTAAGAGCCTCGTAGCTGCTGGCCTTGGTGCTGCCGCTGCTCTAGCTGATCGTTTGCAGGCGTCCCAACATGATGCAAATCTCGTGTCGTTCCTTCTGGATGCAGCTTCTGCTGTCCGTGCGGCACTGCGCTGCTCAATCCACATATGTCTTCGTGGCAGTAAGCCCGCGAATACATCCGCGATACAAATTCCGACTCCATCCAGTTTAAAAAGTCGTTGCGAGCATCCTCGGTCCAACAGCGGGTCCACAAGAAGCTCTCTCCACGGACTCCTGCTTCTCCTGCTGCTCCTGCTGTTGTAGAAACACGTTCATGCGAACTACCTCCGTTAACCGAGGGACACAAGGGCTTCGGATTTGGCTGCTGCGATCGCTGCCGCTTGAGTTTCCGGGGCTCTGCAGCTCGTTGCGACAGATTTCCACGCAGAAGGTTGCCATCAGCGCAAGGGGTCAACGGCCCTGTTGCATCCTTGTCTTCTTCACCAAAGCTCGCCGTAGGTCTCTTGCGCTTGTGCTGTGCAAGCACATCCGAGTTACCCATATGCTGCAGGCCGTACGTCATGTATGCGATGCAGGAGAACTGTTAAATGACTGTCTTGCAAACAGACTTTCCAAGTCACTCGTCGGTCGTAATAGATGATCGTTGCCGTAAAAAAGCTGCTGGCTCGCATAAATGGACAACCCGATATAACGGTAATATGTGGTCGAAGACGAAAGGAGTCGACAAACCTTTGTTGTTACTCAAGTGCTTCCCTTGTAAGATTTGCGCGCAGGGGTTGGGAATGAAGCTCGCTGGCTTTACAAGATTCTTCTCGTGAAGGAAAAGTTTCAAAACGAAACCAGTGACGAAGCGTAGGCACAGAAGATGCGATGACCATGGCTGGAACACACGGGAGCTGGATATATCATCCTACCAAAACGCGACGCTCAAGGAAGACCACTGATTTCGATGCGGGTGACTGGCTGGCAGGGACGCTCGAAGAAAAGGTTCGGATGGCGGTTCCGAAAGGGGAGCGAAAAATCAGTGGCAGGCTAGGCGGAGACAGGGATGCAGTCGCTGTAAACTGCCTCTGGCGGAAACGTAGATGGATGGGGAGAACGGCTTGGCGCTGGCGGATGAGCGGTGAGGTGAAGGGGAAATGACGGCAAGGCAAGGAAGCTTGCGCCATGCATGTCACTGGGAATGGTGCGACCAAATTGGCGCATCGAGAACCGAAGCAAGCTCCAGCGAGACAAAGGCGGGATAAAGGCATGTGAGCCAGCCTGTGGTTGGAGAGCACCAAGCACCTCAAGCATTGCGCGCACGAGTGGGGAGAGGCGATGTGAAAAAATCACTCGCTGCACCAATCATGCGCTCCTTGCCGCGTCGGACCGCCAGCTCCGCTGGAAAAAGCGAGCCTCAAAGTCACCAAGGCACTGCCACGTGAGCATTGTGCGCTTTTTCCGTCAGCAGGGCGCGTGAATGAAAAATCGGCCACTTTAGCTAACAGGTGCCATGTGTGGTCGGGGCTACTTGAGGCTTATCTTGAAGAGTCTGGTGCGACGGACGGTAAGATCCGTCGCTTGCTGCTTGCTTATTCGAAGGAACTACAGCGTCCGTCGATTGAAGAAAGATATTGCCCAGCACTGTCCCTTGCACTGTTTTAGCGTCCGACATGGCAAAGTGGTGAAACCCTGCCACCTGGCCTGCAGCAAAGGCATTGGCCAGGATCATGACGAAACAACGAGTGGGAGCACTTTCCAGGACAGAGTTCAGGGAATGTGGCTGAGATATTTCCGCATGCATACTTTTTGCTCTCGTGTTTCTGTGAACAGTGACCGGAGTGGCGGGAAATCAAGAAAACAGAAGGTTACGGAGATTCTCTGAACTTTGGTCTCCTTGGAAACGCAGCAGGTGAGAAGAACTGTACAGTCTTGTACTGTATGTTTTACGGGCAGCACACATCGGTGGGAAGGACGAATGCCATGAGATATTTTCCATCATTGATTTTGCCGCGGAAGGCTGTGATTGGAGAAGGGCTGGTGTGGTTGCAAATGCTGGAGCTTCCCTGTCGGATCGAATGGGTCAAAGTCAGAAAAAACTTGTCTTGCTGGAAGCAAATGGTTCTCGAATCACAACTCTGTATACTGCTAATTCAAAAGGCAAACTCACCATGTTCCATAATTTTCCTCACTTCTGTAAATTCAATCATTCAACTGTCTGCCCATGTTTGACGCGAGGCCATCCCATCGTTGCCTTGCATGGATGGAGCTGACTTGAGGTCACTTGCATGGGACGCAGAAGCTAGAAGACCTGTCGTTAAGAACTGTCGAGGGGGCTTCACTAATGATTTCACGCGTACACTAACGGATGTCTTACGCAACGACTATGGATTTGACGTCTCTAATAGAGTTCAACAATTTACAAGCTAGTGGACAAGTGGACATGAAAAGTTGTTTTCCTAAATCGTCAGACCAGAACACATTTTCAGGAATGTTACCTTTCTTGGCCAGTCTACGAAAATATAGCTAATACCCTAGACAATAATAATGAACTTCCAACAACTCCACTCTGTTGGGAGTGGGACTTACTGCTGTTGGGATAGTGGCACCGGGTACTAGCAGCCATTCAGTGAGGAGGTTCCTTGATGGCTACACAGAGGAAAGTATAGAGGGAAAGAGAACAGGGAGGTGTTTGGTTTGGAATGGGTTGGGCTGAACTGTAGTGGGAGGAATTGAAGTGGAGGTGAGGAAGAGGGGAGGTGCTCAGAGGGTAGAGGGGTTTTGAACCGTCCTACCCAGCTATTGCACAGTGCTGACCACACACAAGGAAAAGAGAGGGCACTGCCACAGCCCGAAAAGGTTGTCCGAGCAAAAAGGGGCTGCGAAAGCGGAGGATGGGGACGGGCTTGTGTGGATGCTGTTGCTGGTGAAGGTGGAATTAGGAGAGGCAGAGGTAGGAGAGGCAGAGGTAGGAGAGGTTGCATCTGTCCCTTGGGGTGTGCTAGTTGGGTTCGCAGCGCCAGGGGTTGTGAGTAGGCTACTGCACGTGGTGAGGTCGTAGGCACTGGGAATGGTTATGACTGATGGGGGCACTGTAGCAGAAGAGAGACGCGGCGCTGCTGCTTCTTTAGCTGCTGCTGCTGCTGGTGATGTTGGTGATGCTGGCGGTGCTGCTTCCGAA